ACGTTGGTATCCCATATGGGCATCAATTTAAGACCCAGCTGCTCCACTTCCCATCCAGCTCCTTGTTAATGTGCCTGGGAAAGCAGCTGAGGATGGCCTAAGTACTTGGGCCCCTGCATCCACATGGGAGACCCAGAAGCTCCTGGCATTGGCCTGGTCCAGCCCCAGTCATTGCAGACATTTGGGGATGAACCAACAGATGAAAGATTCTCTCTCTCTCTCTCTCTATCTCTCTCTCTCTCTCTCTCTCTTCCTTCCTCCCTCCCTCCCTCCCTCTCTCCCTCCATCCCCCCCTCCTCTCTCTGTAACTCTGTCTCATACAAATGAAAAATAAATCTCAGAAAAAAAAGAAAGAGGGAATGAAATAGGAAAGTACCATTATAGTCTTAGAATTATATCTATGAACTATATTGTATCTGTTCTTGTATTAATATCATAACTTGAAATTTGATGAGGATTGTGTTGTAGTAATTACCATACATTTGATATGACCCAGAGAAACTACTGTATCAATAAACTCCATTAAAAAAAATAAGTTCACAGGGCTGGGGTTGTGGCATAGCTTGTTAAGCTGCTACCTGTGATGCCGGCATCCCATACAGGCACCAGTTCAAGTCCTGGATGCTCCACTTCTGATACAGCTCCCTGCTAACAGCCTGGAAAAAGCAGTAGAGGGTGACCCAAGTGGTTGGGCTCCTGACACCATGTGGGAGACCTGGATGAGGTTCCTGGGACCTGGCTTCAGCCTGGCCCAGAGCTGCTGGCCATTGCAGCCATCTGGGGAGTGAACCAGTGGATGGAAAATCAATCAATCAATCTCTCTCTCTCTCTCTCTCTCTCTCTCTCCTTTGCTTTGTGTAACTCTGACTTTTAATCTTGGGGCCGGTGCTGTGGTGCAGCAGGTTAAAGCCCTGGCCTGAAGCGGCCAGCATCCCATATGGGCACCGGTTCTAGTCCCGCCTGCTCTTCTTCCAATCTAGCTCTCTGCTATGGCCTGGGAAAGCAGTAGAAGATGACCCAAGTCCTTCAGTCCCTGCACCCATGTGGGAGTCCCAGAAGAAGCTCCTGGATCCTGGCTTTGGATCAGCGCAGCTCCGGCCATTGCGGCCATCTGGGGAGTGAACCAGCGGATGGAAGACCTCTTTCTCTGTCTCTACCTCTCTCTGTAACTCTTTCAAATAAATAAAATAATTCTTAAAATAAGAAAATAATCTTTTTAAAAAACAAGTTGAACTTTTAAAGATATGCATTTTCCTTTTCCAGTTAGAATTCCCAACTTTAGGGGCCAGTGCTGTGGCATAATGGGTAAAGCCACTGCCTGCAGTGCAGGCATCCCATATGGGCACCAGTTTGAGTCCTGGCTGTTCCACTTCTGATCCAATTCTCTGCTATGGCCTGGGAAAGCAGCAGAAGATGGTCTGAACCCTTGGGCCCCTGCACCTGTGTGGGAGACTAGAAGAAGCTTCTGGCTACTGGCTTCGGACCTACCTGGCTCTGGCCATTGTGACCATTTGGGGAATAAACCAGTGGATTGAAGACCTTTCTCTCTGTCTCTCCCTCTCTCTATAACTCTACCTCTCAAATAAATGAATAAAATCTTTTAAAAACCAATCATGAGAACATGGAATTCCTTGAGGTAAATCTCCACATTTTTAATTATTTAATTAACTCAAGCCAAATGTTCACCTAAGTTACTCTTTTGTAATATCCTGAATAATTTGCTCAAAATGAGGTCATGGAGTCAAACATGCATAACAGAAATTGTGTGTGTTTGTATACGTGTGTTTTAAAAATTCTGTGCAGAAATTATGGGGGTAAATGGTGTGAGTTATCTTTTGATTTGTTCCCCATCTAATATCAAATTACTTCTTGGGGTTTTCTTTAAATATTTCCCAAATATCTTGTCACTGAATTTTTATCTTCAGTTATAGCATAAATATTCATTTGAATATCTCCATTTCTCTATCAGGAAATTTCTATATGAATTCAAAGTTAACTATAAAACTTTATGATTAATATTTAGTTATAGAAGTATCTTTTTAAAAAAATAACTTTTTCTCTTTCATCCAGATTTTCATGAACTTGAGGTTCAACTTCTGGAAATGTTCTTATTCTAGCCTGTCTTTTTATTTTAACTACAGAGCTTCAAGTAATACAGGTGATTCAAACACATATGGCATAACCAGATAATTAATCAACTCCATTACTATTTTGTTTCTTTATCCCCTTCCTTTGCACATATTCTGGATTGACACACAAAAACTCAATGATTCTCAGGATCCCTTTTAGCCCTTACTGGGGACATTTGTTACACATATTTGTTAAGTATTTTGTGGTGGGAAGTTATTTTTATATGCTTTCATTGTGTTTTGCCAAAAATGAGCATTCAAGTTTTGCAAAAAACAAGAGTACAGTACAATTTGAGAATGAACGTTAGCCTTACAGGTACAATGTGTACAAGCTACAGCATGTGTTAAGACTGCACTTCCAATAAAAGCGAACTTTGAAATGTTTTACAGCAATGCCACATTCTTACTTTGGGTGATTACCATGTCAGAGCTTCCTGGTTCTGGAGCACAGCCTTGAATATTTGCACTCCTTATAAGCATTTAATTCTCTATGAAACTTCGACTAAACGATGGGGAATTATGTTTGTGTCCCTCTAACCCAGACAGTGCTGCATATCAATGGTCTCTGGCTGGTGTTTTTAAATTTATTATATATATATATATATTTCAAAGGAGGAGAGAGCAAGATTGATCTCTCATCTGTTGGAGCACTCTACAAATACCTACAAATACCAAGGCCAAGCCAAGTGAAAGCCAGAAGTTGATAATTCAGTCTGGGTTTCCTTGATGGATGGCAAGGACCCATTTACTTGAGCCATCATCTGATCCCTCCAGGATATGTATTAAAAGAAAGCTCAGATCAGGAGTGGAGCTGGGACTCAAACCCAGTACTCCAACCATGGGATGCAGGTGTTCCATGGAACAACTTAACCTCTGCACCAAACACCTGCCTTCATCAGGTAGCTTTGAGCCACAGATAATAAAGTGACTGTACTGACAATTCTTCAATCCTTTGAGAACTAAAGACTGAATGATCTATCCTTTTGATGTAAAGTCACTTTACATGTACGGCTAATCAGGATTAATTTAATCTTAACACAAAAGGTCCTTGAACCCATTTAGGACACAAAAAATTTATAATAGTTTTAATACAATGGAATTCTGAGTTATGACAAGCTAATGTTTTGAGTTTTATTAGCATCTTAGGACACGTACTCCCTGGTTTAAGATTCAAACCTCTGGACACACTTATGGTGGACCAGTAGACTTTTTAGCTGACAAATGACTGGCTGACTTGGAAATCGGTTTCTAAAGGCTCCAGAGAACAAGATGCTGATACCCCTGGGTTCTCAGCTCTCAGACTTTTCACATAGTTTTTACAAAAGAAACACCTCAGGTGTACCAAAGCTTTGTGTAATGAAATCTTTCAGAGCAGCCAGGAAAACATAACTCTTCCCCCACCTGGAATCCGTCGTGGGTTAGAGCACATTTAATTTCAAGTCAATAGGTTGCCTGCACATCAGCACTTAAGGGATTAAAGACAAGTCTAGTTTTGTTGCCTTAAATGTACTGTTATTGTTATCAATTCGTGCAGCCTTGCAATAAGTTTTCAATAAATCTAAGATTAACTATTATTTTCTTGCCTATAAATAAAATATAATCATCTAAAAAATCAATGAAGGGAAAACCATCATATCCATTAACCTGGCTTAGAATCCCTCCAGGCCCTTGCTGTGAAACACAGTGCTGTGGATCTTTCATTTTATTGAGCTATATCTCTTTGTATGGCAACCAGCAGGCAAAAGGGAAAAAAATCAAATTTAAAAATCAAAGACCACATTTTTTTTGTTCTGAAAACCACTGAGGCAGGGGCTGAATATTCTTTTCTGCCTGGGGTTAATTTTTTTTTCATTTTAATTTGCAATCAGATGCAATAAAAAAAAAAAGACATTGCCTCCAGTAGCTAGTGGCTTTATTACCATCTCTCCTGCCAGTCTCCACTTTTTATAACTTCCAAATCCTTTGTTTTTAAAGTCACCTGCACAACCCTGCAATGTTATAAACACCTTCAGTTGTCTTCACCAACTGTCACTTTGTACCATCTGCTGTTACAATCTCAAAAGCAGTAATGCATGGAGGTCAAGGCCACTTTCTCTCAGGAAACTAAAAAACAACAGAGCCAAGTCATTTAGTGTTTTTTCTTTTTCCCCTTGTCAGCTTTACTACACCCTGGAGTGGATATTTTCCTTGCTTTTCAGTTGTGAATGTTCCTCAAAAGACATGAACTTCACAATAAGGTAACCATACAAAAACAAGGTTTTATAGACAACCCATTATCAACTAGCAGAAGGGGGTGATTAGTCATCTGCTGCACTTGAAATAGATCCAAAGAATTCAAGCCAGTACTGCAAAGCGGGAAATGCATATATCTCAGGATTCCAGAACTGGAGCCATCCTACCTGAATGTGAGGGACACCAGCAGTGACCTTTTGGAAGGCTGTAAGTAATCTCAGAAATCAGACGGTAAGGGTTTGACCAGCTCTGCCACCCACCCAAATTCAAAACATTTTCCCACTCCCATGCTACTCCAACTTAGCTCTTTCCAACTTTCTCTGGTCTGGAACCAAAAAGGACCACTTTTGTTACTGTTTTTGTTGTATATTTAAAATAGTTCAATTAAACTAATCCAACCTCCTAGTCTACAGGAGCTCTTTAAAAACCTAACTCTTTTGGAAAAACGAAAGTGTTTATCAGCATATTCTGTTTCTTCTATTTGCTGCTAATCATTATAAATTGACAGGAAATGTTTCAATGTGTAATAGGTCTATTTTATTCTCAAGTAAGTTTACATGCAAGTCTAAGTCCCCCAATAAATAAAATATAATCATCTTAAAGATCAATATGAGAAAACAATGAGAACCATTAACTCACCTCAGAATCCTTCCAACCACTTGTATGAACCACACAGCGCTGAGTGCTTCATTTTATTGAGCTGTATAATTCCTTGTATGGCAACTGGCAAGGGAAAAACCATCAAAGATTTGGGTGTTGTGCTCTGGAAATCAGAGAGGAGTACAAATGTGAGAATGGATTTTGACCCTTTTTGGTTATAGAAAAAAAATAGATTTCAGTATCCCAGGAAACAACGGTTTTGAGCTGCTGGAAGAAGTTAGCCTGGTATGGCTTCTCCTTTTGATAATGCTTCCTCATGAGCAATTTATAAACTTGGGCATCAATTTTGAAAATTGTCAGAAACTTTTAAAATTTAAGAGAAAGAGAAAGAAGAAACTGATTTTAAAAGTGGAAATGTGAGGGACTGGCATTGTGGAGTAACGGGTAAAGCCGCTGCCTGCGGTGCTGGCATCCCATTCGGGTGCTGGTTTGAGTCCAGGCTGCTCCACTTCCTATCCAGCTCCTGGTGAGAGCACCTGGGAAAGCAGTGGAAGATGGTCCAAGTTTTTGGGCCTCTGCACCAACCTGGGAGACCCAGAAGAAACTCCTAGTTCTTGGCTGTCACAGCCATCTGGGGAGTGAACCAGGGGTTCAGAGAGAGAGGTCTTCCATCTGCTGGTTCACTCCCCAGATGGCTGCAACAGCCAGAGCTGTACCGATCCAAAGCCAGGAGCCAAGAGCCAGGAGCTTCTTCCAGGTCTCCCACGTGGATGCTGGGGCCCAAGGACTTAGGTCATCCTCCACTGCTTTCCCAGGCCACAGCAGAGAGCTGGATCAGAAGAGGAGCAGCCAGGACTAGAACCGGTGCCCATATGGGATGCCAGCCACTTCAGGCCTGGGCTTTAACCCGCTGCGCCACAGCGCCGACCCCAGTGATGTCTTCTTAATTCTCTCCTTTCCACAGTAATTTCTTGGAGTGCTCAATAATGAGGAAAACTCAGAAACCATAACAAGACTTCAAACTTCTAACCTCATTGATATAAGTAATATTTTATAATACACTAAAATGTATCTCATTAGATACATTCCTTTTTTAAAAAAATCATTTACTTACTTGAAAGTCAGTTAGAATGGTTCATTCCCCAAATGGCTGGGCCAAGCCAGAGCCAGTAATGCCATTTAGCCTCCCACATGGTTGCAGGGCACAAGTACTTGGGCCATCCTTTACTGTTTTCCCAGGTACACTAGCAGGGAGCTGGGTCAGAAGTGGCATTGCTGAGACTTGAACCAGTTCCTGTTTGGGACGCTGGCATTGTATGTAGTTGCTTAACCCACTGCACCACAATGCCAGCTCCAAGTACATTTTTTAAGAAATTACCCCTCTTTGTCTTCCTTAAAATAGCCACCCCCTTGAAAAAAATAAAATACCTCTTCACTTGATGCAGGATAAAGAATTTTCCAGTGGTTTCTAAAATGAGCACATGGTCAAGTATCTGGCCCACTTGAGTTTATTTGGATAACTGAATTTATTGTTTAATTTTATGTTGTTTATTATAGTTTGTTGTTGTTTCTTCTGTTTCTTTTCCTTAAGCTTTGCTGGATTATACAAATCACTCTTCATTTTTTCATTTCTTTATCTTTCCAAGTAATTTAGAAATAAAATCAACTTTATTGATTCTACTAGTGATGATAGTTCCATCTATAATAATGGCTATTTATATATGTGAGCATCTAGCCAGTTAGCTCGGTTGGTTAGAGCATGGTGCTAATAAAATATATATGTGAGGTGCTCGGTCTAATGATTAAGAATTGGGTTAAATGCCTATATCCCAGGGCTGGTGTTGTAGTACAGTGGGTTAACCTTAGCTTGTGACATGGGCATCTCATATAAGAATGCAGTGAGTCCTGGATTCTTCTCATCCCCTCCAGCTTCCTATTAATGTGCCTTGAAAGGCAGCAGATGATGGTCCAGGTACATGAGAACCTGGCACCCACATGGGAGACCCAGATGCAGTTCCTGGCTCCTGGCTGCAGCTTGGCCCCGTCCTGGTTGTTACCAACATTTGGGGAGCAAACCAGCCAAAGGATGATCCCTCCCTCTCCCCCCACTCTGCTTTTTGAATAAAGAAATAAATTTTAAATAACTAAATACTAACATCCCATATTGGAGTGCCTGCCTATGAGTCTAAGCTCAACTTGTCATTACAGCTTCCTGATTATGCTACCTTGGGAGGTTCCAGGTGATGGCTCAATCACTTGGGTCACTGCCACACATGTGGAAGACCCAGATTGAGCTACAGGCTCCTAACTTTGGCCTGGCCCAAGCCTGACCATTGAGGGCATTTGTGGAGTGAACCAGCAGGTGGAAGATCTCTGTCTGTCTCTGCCTTTCTCTTTCTCTATACATTAAAATGAATACATAAAAAAAAATTTTAAGGTCACAATTTTCTCCTTATATAGAGTGACAGGAAATGTATATTAGACTGATTCTCTTTCCCTTTACAATTTACTTTTAAAACTTCACCAAGATGTATTTAGTTGTAAGTTTGGTTGTTTGTTTTAATACTCTTTGGGATGGAATGAACCTGGTCAGCCAAAAGGTTTATTTCTTCCTTCAGCTCAAGGAAATTTTCTCCAATTACTTGTTGAATTATTTTATTAGCCATGTTTTTGCTGTGACTATGGTGCTTAACCTATAACCCCAAAATCCTACTGATTTATGAACCTGCTTGGACCTGTAGATTGGCTGCACATCAACTGGTCAAGCTCCTCTGGATCTGCAGGAAGTAGGGCCTTTGGGAGATAATTAAGTCTAGTCACAGTCTTGAGGGTGCAGCCTCCTGGATAGAAGCAGTACACTTACAAGAAAAGGCAGATACATCAGAGCCTTCTCTCTCCAAAATTTGCAGATTTAGTAAGAACTTGGTCATCTGCAAAACAGCCCTCACCAAGGACCAAATCTGCCAGTCCTTTGATCTTGGACTTTCCAGCAGCCAGAACAGTGAGAAATAAATGCCTGTTGTTTAAGCCTCCAATGGTATCTTGTTACAGCAGCCTGAGCTGACTGAGTCAGTTTTGTAAAATCACTTTTATGTTTTTCATGCATCTCCTTGAGAGCCACTGTGATTTTAATTTAGATCTAATCTGGTATTACCCTTCTTACTTGTTATATTTGTTCTTCTTGCCTCAAGTGATTTAATCGCACAAAATGAGTTGTGCTCTATCTGTGTCATATACAAGGCTGTGTTTTCTTTCAGTTTTACTCTAGGTCAGGCTGTTCTTCCCTCTCACCAAGTAGAGAGTGTCTAGTGGTAGAAGGTGTAGAGTTTCGTGCTCTCATGAGCTAACAGCACAAACTGCCAAAATGTCAGCATCCTTCTGCTGAACTTGAAAGGGTTCCCTCTATCCCAGGCCATCCTGATACTCGTCTCCCGGCTGCAAATCTCGAGTTGCTTCAGCGTAAGATGAGGATCCTCTTGTAAGGGCCTTCCAGGAACAGATCTAGTATCTCCTCCGGGCCAAACACAGCCTATGCTGAACAACGCTGAAGTCAACTAAAGGAGCGCAGATGTCTCTTCAACATAGCAGTTTTTAGTCTTTGATATATGTCGATCAATGGAATTGCTAGGTCACATAGTGGATCTATTCTAGGTTTTTGAGGAACCTCCAGTCTGTTTTACATAATGACTGTACTAATTTATATTGTGAGAGTTCCTCGTTCTCCACATTCTCACCAATATTGTTTTTTCTCATCAGTTTCTTAGAAATTCAAAGTACATCTCAGATTTCAAAAATCTAAGATTTGCACTAATTGTGCAGTAAGTCCTGAGCAGTTATTATTTATGAAGCTTAGTCACCTGGAAACATTTAGTCACTGCACATCATAGAAAACCCACAACACTTACTCATTAAGCACACACTGAAGCAGAAGTTATTTGTCATAACATTTCTCTGTCACACGCTTTTTGCAAGAACTTGGGGTCTTGAGATTTTCTCAAGCTTTGGGGGTCTCTTCTCCGATCATACTATCAGGTTCTTTCTCAGCTTTACCTACCCTGAAAGGACACCAACCTCCAAAATGTTCCCTTCTACATTCTCCTCTAGAGTTAAGCATCCTTTGTTCTCCCAAACACACATCTGTTGTCTAGGCTAATAAGTTGTGTAATGTCAAAATTCAACTGTAACTCTGGAGTCACTAATGTGAAAATTAAATTACCTATGACTTATATGACACAGTCCACAGGAAACACCTGCAATTTGACAACTGCATTATTTTATAGTACTGTCAAGACTTAGCCAAGACATGTACTAAAAATCTAAACCCCCCAATTTAAACAAAATAGCTTTATAAAAACCCAAGAACAGTGAGAAAAACAAAAATCATCAACTATGGAGTTGGCATTCAAAGCAGCAGTTAAAATGCCACCCAGGATGCCCATGTCCCATATCAGAGTGTCTGGTTTCGAGTCCCACTTCTACTCTAGATTACAGATTCTTGCTAATGTGCACCCTGGAAGGCAGCACGTGATGAATCA